GATTAAAGATTGGAAATATATTATTGACTTTTTTTCCTAGGATGAAAGTTTGTTAGAATATTATAGAGTTTCTTTTCCTAGGATGTCTGTAAGTGAATACGTGTTAATAGAAGGTCAAATGACACTCGTCGGGATGGGGGGGGAGTGAGGAAGGGGGTTAGTGCCAGCCAGCAAACAGTGCCAGGAAGTGGGAGTGACATGGGGGGCGTCCAAGGTGATGCCTTGAGGTGAGGGAGGAGGGATGGGGAGGGAAGAAAGGAAGGGAGAGAACGTGATATGAGAAGGGTAGAGGAGGTGACGGAGTTTAGGAGAAGGTGAAGGAGAGTTGTGGAGAAAGGTTAGATTAGGTTAGGTTATAGCACGCATAACTATGAGCCTTTTGACTAATGGGCTATACCACATTATCGGCACTAATACTAAGACACCTTAACTTATACCCCCATATAAGGTGTTGAGGTCATTTACCATATTCCGTCGGCCCATGAGTGGCGGGTTCTGTTCTGTAAGGCAGTTGTTTATAATCCCTGGCTGTATAGGTTAACTGGGGTAGTGTTGGACGCCTTGGGGGTTTGGTATGACTTTTTAGGGGTTGGGGTGAGAGGTCCATGGAGAGTTGTTGTCATTGGGTGGGGGGGAGGGGAGGGAGGGGAGGGGAGGAGGGAGTCTTATGTACAAGTTCTGGTTCAATCGATGAAGGAGACGGGAGGAGGAAGAGAAGGAGGAAGAGGGAGGTGGGGGATAGGTATAGAAGGTTGGGGAGGAAGGGAAGGAAGAGGGGGGAGGGGTAAATGAAAGGTAAGGGGAAAGGGGGAGAAAGAAGGATTGGAAGGAAATAATAAAGATGGGAGGTGGGGAAGGAGTGATGAGGTAAAGGAGGAGGGGAGACGAAGGCTGAAAAGGTGAAGGAGGAGAGGAGGAATAATGAGTGATGCAGGAAAAGGAGTGTAGGAGGGAGTGAGAGAGAGAGAGAGAGAGAGAGAGGTGACTAATGTAGTTTTAAATTCATGCGGTCACTTTTTATGATTTGCTTGACAGGTAATTGTTTAGTGCATATTGCCACCGGCTGCAACTCTATTAATAAACCGTTTATTATTATTATTATTATTACACACACACACACACACACTCACACACACACACACACACACACACACACTCACACTTTTCGATGACTGTACCAAAGTGCCTAAACAACTTGCGGTCTTTAAACACGTAATATTAATAAGATAATTTAGTCAAACGATATAATTAAAGTACTTATCATAATTCCTTAATATAATATAATATAATTGATTAACCTTTATAAAATATACATGGAAGTTTCTAATAATCTATATAATCTTAATTACAAAATATAATTGACAATATATGAAAAAAAAATGGAGAATGTCTTTTAAGGCGACAATTATTAAGAGAAATATGAATTATTACAACATTCTATTGTCTTTATGACTTGTTCCCCGAGCCAATTATGTCTTACAAGTCTTAATAAATGGCTGTTTGTCCTTCACGTAGTTCATTATGGCTGTCTGAATGTCTTGTTTATCCTTCATTCAACTTCCTATGGCTATTTTAAAAGACTGTAATGGCTATGGCTAATACTATAGATATATTCGTTAAGTATTATTATTATTATTATTATTATTTTTATTATTATTATTATTTTTATTATTATTATTATTATTATTATTATTATTGTTTACATTTAGGTTTGTTATTGTTTACGTGTGTTGTTCCCGTAGTGGACCAGCCAACAGGGATGGAATAAGCAATAAGTGTCCATGGTTCAAATAGCCACAACTCTTGCCCTTTACCTCAAGCTGGGGGGGGAGGGGAGTAAAAGAGAGAGGGGCGAGGGAGGACCAGGGAGAGTTGTGAGGTGAGTGATGGTAATGAGGAGGGTGTGAGAGAATGTGAGAGAGAGAGAGAGAGGGGGGTCAGGGAGAGTGTGAGAGAGAGAGAGAGAGGGGGGGTCAGGGAGAGGTGAGAGAGAGAGAGAGAGAGAGGGATCAGGGAGAGGTATGAGAGAGAGAGAGAGAGAGAGAGAGAGAGGAGAGTTGTGAGGTGAGTGATGAGGGAAAGGGAGAGGAAAGGGGAGAGGGGAAGGGAGGGAGAGAGAGGGAGGGAGGGAGGGTTGTAGAGATTATGGCCAGGTAAAAAATGGTGCGTTGGTCATATTAGTAACTGGGAGACTAAAGTGCTCAACCCACCACACACACAAAAACAAATACAAATAAATTAACAAAACCACAACAACGTATAAATCACTACGCCAAACTACGCTCTATATCAACTACGCATTGGAACTACATATTAAAATATTATCCATACGCAATATATACTACTCATACGCAATATATACTAGTTATATTAAAACTACGTTGTGTCTGACCTGGATAGATTAAATTAACATATATATAACTATGCAACGACGTAAACAATAACGCCCTTCCCTTATCTGAGACTTTAAATCTGTTCTTCTTTTTTGACGATTTTTTTTTTAGAATCTTTAGGCGAATTTTTCATTTTTTTTATCATTAATGACTTTCACTTAAATACTAAATCAATTAAGGCATAGTTTATGGTGTAAGGTCATTAGGGTGATAGTAGAAATTTGTTTGTTGTGTCTTGTGGTGATTAAGACGTAATGAATGGTGCTTAATGACCCTGGTAGTTGAAGTGCCTCAAACAGGAAAAGCCACAGGGTATGTAATTTGCCGTAATTGCCTGCTGAAGAAACAAGGGCACAGTGATTGATGCTTAAAATACCCTGGTAGTTGACGCTCCTTTATGCAATCACAGCATACTAACCTAACCTAATCTAAACCCAACCTAACCAAATCAAACCTAATTTGAAATAACCTAACTTAATCTAACCTAACATACCCTAAGGCTTAGGGCCTAAGCTAACCCCCTTTAAGGTAGCTTTAAATGACATACAATTAACTACCTAACTACCAATTCAACGATGTGGTTAATGAGAACAGGCAATTAGATCGTTAGTGTACAGGAAACGTGTGGTCGTTAACGAGATGCTATAAACTATCCAACTGTCGACCTGTAATTGCTAATGATTGGTCGTTAGGGATAAAATGAAAAAAATTTGTTTACAGTCTGTTTACACCTCCGTTTACTTTGTGTTGTTTGCATTTTTTACAATTGATATTTTTACTTGATATGAACTGTTTATACTGTTTGTGTTATCTTCATACATACATACATACATACACACATACATGATTTACGTTATATATAGTTTACATTGTCTATATAATCGACATTATTTACAGTTTACATTCTCGATATAAATGACTTTATTTACATTTCTGACCTACTAGAAGTCAGAGCACCAATGGCGGGTAATTAATGGCACTTAATTGACACACACTAACGAGCTATGGCCTCGTTAGTGTGTGCTGAGACAATTACTCGTTAGTGAAGGACTTTTCTATAATCTGATTCGAGGTTTTGATAATCTTATAATCCTTCTATAATCCTGTGGTCTTATATAATTCCTTAGCCTTGGTTAATTATTTTCAGTTTATATAATTCTTTGACTTTAATTAATTATTTGACCTAAGATAATTATGTAACTTTATTTAATTATTTGAGTTTATATATTTCTCATTTTAGATAATTCGTTGGGCCTTAATAATTCTATGGCAACACCGAGATTATAATCATTATTTATTATGGCAACACTTCAGGAAACACAATTGAACAACAAATTGGCAATACTTGGACAATAAACACCATTAATATGAAAAAAAAACAGAAATACCACTCATTATGGCAACACCACAAGAAACATATGATCAACGATATGGCAACACATTTAATATAACACAACGGAATATAATACAAACATTAATCCATATGGCATCACTTCAAAAACAATATGGCAAAACTTCACAAAATAAATGAACAACAATATGGCAACACTTTAAAAACAAAGAATATGCCAAAACCTCCAAAAAAACAATGAACGACAATATGGCAACACTTTAAAAACAAAGAATATGCCAAAACCTCCAAAAAAACAATGAACGACAATATGGCAACACTTTAAAAACAAAGAATATGCCAAAACCTCCAAAAAAACAATGAACGACAATATGGCAACACCTCAAAAACAAATGAACGCCGCCATAACAACACGAGGAGGCAAGAAATGGGAGGACATAATTTTTTTTCTCCTATCTATAATTACGTATCGCTAAATCATACACATATCAATAATTATATTACCTAACCTTGTGAATTTACTCAAGCAAGGACAAGATTAGTGGGAAGTATTATAAAAAAGATAACGAATAAATGTGGAAAAATGTAAAGAATTGGTTGGGAAATAGTAAGAGAATGAGAATTAGTTAACCTGGCCTCTTAAATTAATCTAATCTATGGGAATTTTGATATGATTCAAGTCAATGGGTTTTGTCCGGTGAGATTTTTGTTCAATGGGATTTTTGTCCGATGGGTTTTTGTCCGATAGGGTTTTGTCCGTTCCCCGCCAACACCGGTTCGTGATACTTGAAGGCGGATTATTGGTGTTTACTTCTGGCTGAAGAATTTGTGTGTAGTTTATATATTAATCTCCCAAGTAACTGTTATTTACAACCACATTTTCTCAAGTTTATATATGTATGTTAATGTAAATATATATGTGTGTGTAAGTATATAAATATTCAGCATTATATGAAGACAATAGGGGGATATTTGTGTTTATATTTTCACCTTAAAGAACGAAGGCCAACGTCCCCCTTCGTCACTGGATCACAAAACATCGCAACTGCTCCTACCTTGTTCAAAAGCGGTGCTCCAATGACGAAGTGTCGTTTTTTTACGGAGAGGAAACAAAAATTAAATGCCTTCCCTTATTTGTATTCCATCACACTACTACTACTACTACTGGACCCATCAACCCCTTCACTATAATCAACACTACAGCAGCACCACCGCCACACAACACAACACAGGGTAGGGGTGAGTGAGATTCTTACACACACTATCTCCCACACGCCCATCTTCTCTCCAGGGTGGTCACACGTCGACTGACCCGCTCTACTGATCGTGGCGCGCCTCGTGCTGCTGCTGCTGTTCTCCCGCCTCCTCCTCTTCCTCCTCCTCTTGCTGCCGTTGCTTCTTCCCCTGGTCTTGCTTTTGCTCTGTTTTTACTCCTCTCTTCTTTTTTTTTGTTCCATTCGTCGCCTTGTCATTTGCCTCGAGTTCTGCTGCTCTAATTTTTTTTGCTCAAACACTCGCTGTCATTGCTAGTGTCGGTGCTCTAGTTCTCCTCATAAGTCTCCCAGTCGCTGTCTCGTGCACCCAGATCCTGAGGAGTTAAGTAAATAGCTTCTGCTGTGTGTACTGTGAGGGCGTGTTCCCTAAGTACATGCTTCCTGTATCTCTCATAAATGTTCCTCTCTTATACCTGTTTCATTTCCTCTGTTTCTCTCCATACACAGACACGCATACATACACGGACGCATACAGACATATATACACAGACACATGTTTATAGATGAATATGTGTACTTCTGTGTTGTGGTGACGGTGGTGGTAGGTAGAGGGGGCATGGCAGGCTGTAACAGGGGTGATAACAGTAATACAGTGGTCATAGTTAAGGGTTGTTTACAGCGTTATGTAACCCCTGTACTGTACCCTGAGTTGACCCCGCCCGTCCCATCCTTGCCCTCCTGCCCCCTCCTCCTTCCCTCTTTGCCCTTCTGCCTACCTCCTACTTCCCTCCTTGCCCTCCTGCCTCTCCTCCTTCCCTTCTTGTCCTCCTGTCCCCTCCTACTTCCCACCTTGCCCTCCTGCCCCTCCTCTTCCATCCTTGCCCTCCTGCCACCTCCTCCTTCCCTCTTTGCCCTTCTGCCTACCTCCTACTTCCCTCCTTGCCCTCCTGCCTCTCCTCCTTCCCTTCTTGTCCTCCTGTCCTCCTACTTCCCACCTTGCCCTCCTGCCCCTCCTCTTCCATCCTTGCCCCTCCTGCCCCTCCTCCTTCCCTCTTTGCCCTTCTGCCTACCTCCTACTTCCCACCTTGCCCTCCTGCCCCCCTTCCATCCTTGCCCTCCTGCCACCTCCTACTTCCCTTGCCCTCCTGCCCCCCTCCTTCCCTCCCTGCCCCTCCTCCCTAAGGGCCACTTTCTCTTCCTTATTGTGTTTAAGAGGGTTTCCCACGACCCTTACCCTCCTCCCCCCTCAATCATCTCATCTTCCTCCTCCCCATTTCACTCCCCTTCCCACGTCATATCAATCCCTCTCTTCCACCCCCTCTCTCTCTCCTCCCCCTCCCTCTCGCCTCTAATCCCCCCTCTCCTCCATCTTTCCCTCCCCTCATCTCTCTCACCTTACCTTCCTCCTCCATCTCTCTCACCCTCCCCTCCTCCTCTATCTCTCTTCCTCTCCATCCTCCTTCATCTCTTCCTCCCTCCCTCGTCTTCTCTTCCTGTTCCTCCCCTCCCCCTTGCCCCTGAACGTGTCTGCCCGCCCTTAGTGAATCACTCTTACGCCCTCCGACTTGCTTTATGGCTAGGTACATGGCGTGACTGTGTGTGTGTGTGTGTGTGTGTGTGTGTGTGTGTGTGTGTGTGTGTGTAATATTGCTGTCTTTGTTTTCAGTTGCTCACACACACACACACTTGTCACCATTATATTCACAATCCCTCAAATACTGTCGTCTCATTCTGCTCCACTTCCTACAACCTGTAAATGCCTTTTATAAATATCAGAACAATTTATCAATAGTTTTAATTCACCGAGGAACATTGGATCCATTGGCTATTATTTACTTCCAATATTTCGACCTTTAGTCAAAACAAAACAATGTTCAAAGAAAACCCGATCTATTATCGAGCCTAAACTATTTTAATACCAATGTAATCAACATGTCGATAACATTAACTAACTTGTATTGTTTATTTAGTTTCTCTTTCTCTCTCTCTCTCTCTCTCTCTCTCTCTCTCTCTCTCTCTCTGATTTAACCAAGGATGCAAACACAAATGAGAGAGAGAGCGCGAGGTCATAATTAGGAGAGAGAAAGAGAGGCAAAGTCATAAAGAGAGAGAGAGAGAGAGAGACTTCATGAGGGTAGTAAGTAAAGATCTAAGCTTCCTGGGTCGTGAGATATAATATATTTTTTGTTCTCCTTCACTGTCTCGAAGATCTGTATATATGTGTGTGTGTGACATTACCTTCACCCCCTCGTGTGCGTGTGATGGGGCTACACACACACACACACACACACACACACACACACATACAGCGACTTGTTAGTATTGTAGGTATTATTTATTTGGAGTATTTTATTGTATTCATATCGTCCACAAAATTCTCAAGATGAATATTATTATTATTATTATTATTATTTTTATTATTATTATTATTAGTAGTAGTAGTAGTAGTAGTAGTAGTAGTAGTAGTAGTATTGCAACATAACTCACTCGATACAGTAAAGGGAACTTAAACAATGTAGACTCTCAGGATATAAAATTCCTTCAGTCATTCATTACAAAAAAAATGTAAAACGAGGTGAAAAAATTATAACGAAATACTTCCATTGTTCAGATGAAACATAATTAAACTATTGTAAAAATTGTTATAGCGAAGGACAAACTCTTTCAACATCAGATAAAAGAATTTACCTCAGAATACAAAACAAAATGGCTACAAAAAAATATTGGTAATTAGAAGTAACAAGTACAACCGGATTCACTATAGTTTACCCCCAAATACGTTACTTTTTTATGGATCTACGACTTCTTGTTGATCTGAGAATCGTAAAAAATCAAACTATGAATCTATTTTGACTCGCATATGAATATTTAGAATCGGAATCGTTTAAGAATCTTTTTTATTGGGGATCTGATGACTCATTGTTGACGTGAGAATATTTTCACACCCGGAGTCGTAATGTTAAGGAGTAATTAATGTATTATTTCAGTCTCTGTTAATGTCCACCGCCCACCTGTTTGTCTTGACCTTTTCTTAGCCTTAACCTCTGTGCCTCTTGACTTTATCCACACCCTCACCTGGCGTACTCCTCCTCCTTAACCCCCCATACCCCCATCTACCCCCTCTACCCCCATTCCTCCCCACCCCCACCTCCCTATAAAAGACTTGTATCATCCCTCTCTCCCTACATCTCTTCCCTAGTACTTTTATCGCCCCCTCCCCTCTCCTCTACACTCCCCTCCCCTCCAGTACTTACATCACCCCTTCCCCTCCCATCCTCTCCCCCTCCTTCCCCCCGTACTTTTATTCTCCTCTATTCTCCTCCCCTTCCCCTGTTTTTGTACCTTATTCATTCATTCGTTACCGCTCTTCCTGCTTCCTTTCATCTTCCCTCCTTCTTTCTTTTTCCTTCTTTCCTTTCATCTTTGCCACCTTTCCTTCCTCTCCCCTCTTTCTTTCCTTTCTCCTCCTTCTCCTCTTCCTTCCTTCTTTCTCTCTTTCCTCCCTTAACTAACTCCTTTCTTCCTTGCTCCTTTCCATTTTCCTTCTCTCCTTCCTTTCTTATTTTCTTCTCTCCTCATTTCTCTCCCTTCATTCCCCCCCCCTCTCTCTCGTTCTCCTTTTTCTAATCCTTCCTTTGTCCCCTTTTTGCACTCCTCCCCTCACCTTCCGTCCTCCTCCACCCCACCCCACCCCCCCCCTCCACCCCTCCTCTTTTCAGTCTTTGCAAGTCTTCCGGGATAAGCCACGCCCCCTACCCTACTGACGTCACAGGATAAAATTTGAATTAGACTAAACCTAAAAAAGAAAAAATATTAATGAAAGAAATGAAGGTTAAGATAACAGTATTTTATTCTTTCAATTTCCAATAAGTGTAAATTTTCTGGGGTTTTAGGGGGGGGGATAATTTCGGTTTTAATTATTTTTTACATCACCTGTCAGATTACGCTAACCTCATATTACCTGAAGATTAACCACCCTTATGCTGCCTGGGTGGGATTAGGTTGAGTTAGGTTAAGATGGGGTTAGATTAGGTCGGTTAGATTACTTTAAATTCAGTATTATTTAACAAACTCAAAATGGACATTAAGACAATAACAATCAAAATATAGACATTATACACTTTAAAATGTCAATTAAAATAGGGAGACTTTTATCCAAGATGTTTGGTAAATTAGCAGAAGTTACCCCAACAAAATTTTAGTAAACACGAGGGTAGACCCGAAGTGTTCAATAAGAGGGGTGGATGGGTGGGTCGCTGGAAGGTGTTTCAGTAAGAGGGGTGGGTGGGTCTCTGGAAGGTGTTTCAGTAAGAGGGGTGGGTGTGTGTCTCTGGAAGTTGTTTCAATAAGAGGGGTGGTTGGGTCGCTGGAAGGTGTTTCAGTAAGAGGGGTGGGTGTGTGTCTCTGGAAGTTGTTTCAGTAAGAGGGGTGGGTGGGTCGGTGGAAGGTGTTTCAGTAAGGGGGGTGGGTGTGTCTCTGGAAGTTGTTTCAGTAAGAGGGGTGGGTGGGTTGCTGGAAGGTCAATCACGAAATACCAAATGCTCAAGCCGTGATCCACTCTGATGACAAGGAAAGCCGGTTCTTAGCGTTATCCCCCCTTTCCTCCCCCTCCCTATCCCCCTACCCCCAACTCCCCCCCTATCCCCCCACTCATGATGACGTACTGTATTTCCTGTATTTATTTTTCGTAATTGTTATTAATTACACTATAGTCAGCAATATATAAAAATGATAAAGTATAGACCTCTTATCGTAGCAATCGAATCTTACCATAAACAAAAGATTCACCACGGTCTTGCAATGGCGACTTCAATAAATGACGTAAGTACTACAAGATCTCAAAGTAAAAACAAAAGCACATCACTCCAAATACAGGTTCGACTGTCCCGACAGTCCTTTGTTTCATTTGATGACCCTTTATATATGTTTAACCCGGGAACCGTTAACGCAATTACAGGACTTATATTTTAGTTCTTCCGTTCCCGTTATTTAAAGATAATTTTTCAATTGTATTCACTTTAGGTTGAGGATTTGAGAAATTTACTTTTGAAATGAGCATTAATTAATGTAATTGTCCATTCTGATTAATAACAAGGAAATTCTCTTGATATAACCATAGATTTTAGTGAATATTCGTCTGTTTGCATAGATTATCAAATTCAGGGATCATTTCTAGGATAATGTTCGTGATTAAATTGATAGGTCTCTTTATTTTACAGACTTACAGATCAACGTTTGTACTGTGATCTATTTATACATAACAGTAACACAAACCTACACCAGCGTCATCATAATTTATTCATGAGTAAACATAAAAAAACATCACCCCTCCCCCTCATTCCCCATACACCCTCTCCCATCACCCTTTCCCCATCCCATTACCCTCCCCCCTTCCCATTATCCTTCCTCCTCCCTCGTCACCCTTTCCCTTCCCTCATTACCCCCTCCCCATCATTGCTCCACCCCTCCATCATCCCCTCCCTTCCCTCAACCTCCCCCTCCCTCTCATCTCTACATACAAACATACAACTTCCCCTCTCCCTCCCCTTCCACCCATCCCAAGACACACAAAGGAACTCATCAGCGTCTTTTTCCATCACTCAACATCCTCTCACCAAGACCACCTCCCCCTCCCCTCCAGTACCTACCGCTGACCTTTTCCGCTTCAGGAACGGGACAGGAAAGGGAGTTCCCCGTCTCACCATATAGCAGGGCGGCCTTGGGTAATGTATCCCACCCGTGCCATTTACGAACCATGCCCGGGCCGGAATGTGTATACCCAGTTAATAGGTTCGGATCTGAATGGTATGTTTTAATTGGGATGGATTCTTCGGTTAATGGGTAAACAACATGGACGATTAAGTCTATGAGTGTATCTAATTGTGGGATGTTACAATGGGGATGATTGCTAAAATTAATGGGTAAACGACTTCGAGTGCCGTTAATGGGCCCGTGTCATTTCTTGGTCATGCCTGGAATATATCTCCCTGTACCAGTTAATAGGGACGAAGCTTATTGGTTTGTTATTTAAGATATAATGGATGTTAATAATGGTTAGATTTGTGGATAATGGGAAGTTTAATCAATATACAAAGACTTCGTTAATGGATACGTGCCCTTTACTTACTATGACTGGATTCGCATTGTATCTATCAGGTAATGGGAACGGTATCTGTTGTTACGTTAATACTGAAAGGATATTTGGGATAAGGATTTATTCGGTACATTATTAATAATAGATTAGTCTCACTTAATATTCATGTACGAGTCAAAATGATAGGGCTAATTACTAAAACGGATTGACTTTTACTTATTTATTTTCTTACTTATTTACTTTCTTATTTACTTATTTACTTTATTATTTATTTACTTTCTTGTTTATTTACTTATATTCTTATTTTTTATTTATTTGTGAATTATAAATATTACCCAGAAGCTTCAATTTTAATTTCTATTAGAAATTTGGGTGTAACTTAAGGAATGGGTAATTGAAATGGTGAAAATGTCAAATAGGTGTTGTATTACCTGCGAATATTGTCTCAGATTAAATATTCTACTTCCCAGACAATCCTTTTTATCATTAAAGACTGTATGTATTATTTAATGAACCTCCTTCCTTCCCTTTTTCTTCCTTTCTTTCTTGTTTTCTTCCCTCCTCAATTCCCTCCCTTTCGTCTCTCTCACGTTCTCCTATTTCTCCTAATCTCTCTCTCTCTGTTCCTTCTTTTTTCCCTCTCCCTTGCTCTGATATTTATGAAATAGGATTTTTAAGTGATTTACCTATTACGTGGCACCTTTAATAATAACTATACACCCGTTAATGACAATCCAAATGGTGAAAATTCTACAGCCGACACTTGTATTTTGGTTTAATTAAGTTTACCCTTTAAAAGAAACAACCTTATTAAAGAAAACGTATATATGGATAACTAATTTAAAATACAATACAACTCGACATTACTATAAATATTAATTATTATTAAAAAAATGCATGTTTTTGTGTGTCTCTTATACATTTATTTATTGTTTAAATATTTATTCTTCCTATTTGCCATACGTGTACAGGAAATTTACCACGTCAACAATATATATACTGGTTTATTATTAATTATGTGTTTTCCTCATACGTATAAGGAAAACTAAGCGATAAACCTCGTCACAGGCATCGACAAACTGCTATGGCTCCTGAGGTATTAGTAGGCTTTGCTCCCTGTGCTATTTATGAAAGTGAATCGCCTGTGTAGTGACCTTGTGTTGTGGATAATTGACTTACGAACATTTAAAGAGGTATGAGTGCTTGTTGTAGTTAACATTTGGTGGTGGAAAACGAATGGCTTGAAGTGTCCTATAGAAACGAGTGATTAGATAGAAAAATACATTGATATATACAGAAATATTGTCATTCATATTTTCCATAGACAGTGAAGGTATACAATGCACATAGAGATAATTTAATTGATGCTGTCGAAGATATATACGTGATTTAATTCCATGATTTGATTAATGATTGGAAATAATTTTGATTGATGGTTCATTGAGGACATTGCTGTTTCTATTGTTGAGAAGACAGGTGGGTTATTAGTCTATAATCTATGACATAACATTCATATCCTCATTCTATAATACACACGCCTATGAATAGTTGAAGATAAATGTTCCTGATATATTGTTGTCATAATGTACTCGACTTAACGCCATCTTAATCTCTTGAGAATTCGGCCTCAAAACTAACTATTGATTCTTATTCTATCGCCACCAGGATGCAGCTGAGATTACTCTTGGGATGGTGTAACCGTAAGCGGGTACTGAGGGGTATGTGGGCGGCGGGTGTGGGCGGGATGGGCACTATGTTCCTCTTCATCCTGACACTACACACTGCCCTCCTCCTGCCTCTCTACTGTGAGTCAGGTCTGTGGTGTTTATGTTGTGTTTTCTTTAATAAATATCACTGTTAAATGGGATCACCAGAATATTAGACACCCCGAACTTTTTTTCACCTAAATATTAAGAACCCTAGCGCTTATTTGACTGGAATTAACCTAATCTAACCTAACGCTAACATCCTAACCTAATCTAACACTAACCTAACCTCCCCCTCCTCTTTTCAACATCACTACAGCATTGTCTCACCTCCCCATTCACCCCCCCCCTCCTTTTCTCTCTCCCTCCCAGAATGCACCATGATGCAGTGGCGGGATCCAGGGTCACCAGAGAACAGGCAAGTGATACGTCACCTCCAGGCGAATGTGCTAGAGGCGGCCCAGCGGAGTGTGGTGGAGCCAGTCACCCCCATCGACCTCTACGACCCCCCATGGATGAAGATAGAGAGATGGCTGGCGGTGGAGTCTGCCATACGTCAAACTATGGGTCAGAAGGTGAGAGAGAGAGAGAGAGAGAGAGAGAGAGAGAGAGAGAGATGCTATGATTTTTTTTGTGTGTGACCAAGAACTATAAAACATAAGTTCTGACGTTCCTCTTCACTTCCTGTTCCAATACCTCCCCCTTCCCCCACTACTGCCCCTCCCCCCTTCTCTCTCTCTCTCTCTCTCTCTCTTACAGAGACGGGGGGTGTTCGTGGAGGTGGGTGCTGGTGCTGGCGTCTTCAAGTCTCACACGTCGTGGCTGGAAACGTCTCGTGGTTGGACTGGCCTGCTGATCGAACCACGTCCAGATGCTTACGCCCAGCTGAGACGCCGCAGGAAGGCCGTGGGGGCGAGGGCGTGCGTTTCAGACTATGGCTACAATAAAAAGGTCAGTCTAGAATCCTTTGACCAGATGATAATATTATGATAGCAATTAAAAGTCTTATTTCTTAACTCTTCTCCAATCATGTTTATAATGACGTCATACTTTGCTTGTTGTGTGAGGTGTGACGTCAGAGTTTTAAAGGGTTCAAACAAGGATCAACTGAATATTAAACACCCCAGCTTATTTCATTGTAATATTAACTTCCCTAACGCTACCTATGGGGTTAGATTAGGGTAGGTTAACGTTATGGTCATAGGTCATTAGGTGAAATAAGCTGGGGTGTCTATTCTTCAAGTGATGCCTAAGGTCTGGTAGTTAGATACGTTTTAATATCTCCAGTTACGAAAAAAATACTTGTTAAACACCTGTTACATACATACATCTATCTGTGCCCCGCCTGTCAAACACCTGCCACACACCTATAATAAACACCTGTCTAACCTATCACATACATCTTTCTCACACCTCACACACCTGTCTCACACCTGTCTCACACGTGTCATGCAGGAGGTGTTGTGGATGCCGAGTGGGACGGAGGAGCTGCCTGAGTTCTACAGGGAAATCGCCTTGTCCAGATCAACACTAATGACCTACGTGGCCAACGAGGTCAGCTCTCTCTCTCTCTCTCTCTCTTACAATCAATGTATAGTAATTCAAGAGAAAGAAATAAAGAGCAAGAAAGTAGATAGATTAATTCAACAGGAGAAATAATAGACACCAACGGGGCCTTAGAAAACCCATTAGAAAATAGAATAGTCCCTCCACTAATAGTTCCTCCCTTAGGTAAACAAAGGGGTATCTACATTAGTAGCTCCTCCCTTAGATAAACAAAAGAGGCCCTTCAATAGTCCATCCCTTAGGTAAACAAAAGACTCCCTCCATTAGTAGCCCCTCCATTAGGTAAACAAGAGACCCTTCATTACTCCCTCCCTTACCTGCCCCCTAAATGACCTTTGTTTTCCTTGACCTTGGACTACAGGACAGGCTGGGGTCATTGAGGCTGGAGGTACAGTGCTTCACCCTCAATGCCCTGATCATCGCTGCCATGGGATTTCAAAGGCCCATTGACTTCCTGATGCTGGACACTAGCGGAGGAGAGTGGAGAATTCTCGAGACTTTGGAGCAGCTTAACGTCAAGGTGAGTGGGGGAGATGAGAGGGAGATGAGAGGGTTAGTGTTAGAGTGAGTGGGGGGGGGGATGAGATTATGTGTTTTAGTATGGGAATTTGTGGATAATATATATTGTTTATAACTCTGAATTCACCACCACCACTAACACCAACCACCCCCACCACTAACACCAACCACCCCCACCATCACTAACACCAACCACCCCCACCACTAACACCCCACCCCACCACTAACACCAACCACCCACCACTAACACCCCACCCCACCACACCAACACCACCACCCACCACTAACACCACTAACACCAACCACCCCCACCACTAACACCAATACCCCCCACCACTAACACCAACCACACACCCCCACCACTAACACCAACCACCCCACCACTAACACCAACCACCCCACCACAACACCCAACCACACACCACTAACACCAGCCACCCCCACCACTAACACCAACCACCCCACCACTAACACCAACCGCACCAACAATCACTAACACCAACCACACCATCCACTTAACACCCACACACCACTAACACCAACCACCCCACCACTAACACCAGCCACCCCACCACTAACACCAACCACCCCCACCACTAACACCAACCACCCCCCACCACTCACCCACCAACCACACCCCATCACTAACACCAACCCCCACCACTAACCACCCCCACCACTAATCACCACCATTTACCCTACAGAGCCTGATGGTTAAGTTCAACACAGACGTAGACAAAACGTTCATAAAAGAAACGACCGAGCGACTAAACCTCAGACACTATCCATCGAAGCTTCTGAGTCGAAACCATTTCATGTTCTTCCTTAGTGAGAACACCGACCTCAACATGACCCAGTGGCAGGAAGGATAGGGGTTGGTAAATAGGGTAGTAAGGATAGGTGTTGGTAAGTAGGGTAGAATGGATAGGAAGTAAGAAATAGGGTAGGCAGAATAGATTCGATAACTTGGATGGGTAGAATAGGAGGTATGAAATGGGTTGGGAAAGATACCTGCCCTTACATTTATCCATAGCATATAATTGTACCTGTTATTATTGGGCATTTGATTGTGTGTTACGACATCCCCCACACACACACAGCCTGTCGTTACCTGAGATGTGTTATAAATTAGCTTCAGGTGTGATAAATTACGTGTTGCGTTATGTTGATATTAAGGGAGTATTAGTTTAGGTCCAGATTAGATTAAGTTTGTTTTTGTGTATGAGTTTCGTTGAAGGAGATGAGGTCTGGTGAACTGTGGTGGGATGATTTACTTATAATATTGGACCATTATTTTATCTGGGGCAGCTTCACTCGTCGTCAAACAAGAAAAGTAACATATTTTAAAAGTTTAAAAGATCATTGAATTTTGTGTACTTTGAAATCCACTGAAATGTATGGAAATTTTGTTGTCTCTGTTTTTATTGTTATTCTTGTATATACGCTGTAACTGGGAGTATCTACGCTGGGGTAACCAAATCAGGTTAAATAAAATATCTATACAACTTTTTTGTTCTTTACCCACTAGTAAGGATCATCCATTATATTGTAAGTGTAATGAAATATAGTGGAACATAAACATAATATACCACAAACAGTAAATTAATATATATTTATCTTCAAGCTATCAGTCATGATAATAGGGGTCACGCAATATTGAAACCAAGCTAAACAAGTTATTTTGCTTTACATGTTCCGGGCATGGAGAGGAAGCCGCACCAACAGTTGGAGTTATACGAGTTTGGTTTTTCCGGCAGTGTGAACAACTCCTCCTTCATGTGTACAACTCCTCCTTCATGTGTACAACTCCTCCTTCATGTGTACAACTCCTTCATGTGTACAACTCCCTTCTTCCCCTACAAGTTCCATTGTAATGTTTACTAGCCATCAACCACACAAACTGATTGAAACAGGGAACCCGATTTCATCTTTCCGTTTACAGGTATGAATTAAATATTGGTGTCTGTCTGTACGGTACACTGTTTATACTTCCTTCATCATCTACGTCCTTCTGCTTATCATTTATCAGTCAAATTGTCACTAAATTGTTCAGTTTCTTCATAGGACGCCATAATGTTTGATTCCAGTGGCTCGACGCTGTAGTTCCTCTGTTTTGTCTACTTAATTTATTTTTATTTATTCATTTGATTTATTTAAACTTGTTATGATTTACTTACTTACTTACACACACACATCTGCTATCCTTCTCAAATTCATTGCCTTCGTAACCATAGAGGAAGGTGGAGGTCAAACAATTCTTCAACACCTTTCCCATCAACTTCTCCCCTCCCGTCTCTCCCATCCTCAATAACTCCTCCCATTGTCCACTCTTCCGCGCTTTCTTACCGTATTTTCCTGCCTCCCATCTTCACATGCTAGACTGGTTAAGTGAATTTGACCTGAAGGTAAGGTAAGGTAAGGTACAATTGATAGTCTAAATACCTCGTTTATTAACCCCGCCCACTGATGACGTCACTACTGAATCTGGCCTCGAACACTGAATCAATTCCCGAGATCTTTTAAGTCATTAAGTAAGTAATTAGGGTTAAGTTAATTATTATTGTAATTTTGTGGTTGGTGGTTGATTAATAATGTTCATATGTTGTAAGTAAAGTGGGGTTGTGAAGGTTGGTGGTTCAGTATGGGAGAGTTGATCAATAAATAATAGGTATATAAACTTTTGTGACACCCTGTATACATATTATTGATGCTTATATGCAATGTGTATATTATTTGTATATGTATTTTGTGTGTCATAGATCAATCTTATATAGAACTTACGTGGAGTGAATAAATGTAATTCGCGGGCCTATTCTATCTTACGCTTCATGTTAACAAAAGTATTAAGTATATATTAGCAAAAATCTTATATTATTTTCCCTTATCTCCACCTTTTATCTCATGACCCTAGCCATTATTATTATCATTAATTATCATCGGCATTATTATTATTACTATTATTATTATTATTATTATTATTATTACATCATCATTATTTATAAGCTCTATTTCACAATTCATAAATGTGTACAAACTTGTAATTCAATTTGACATATAAAATCAAACAGTGACTAATTGGTTGACATTATTTATAAGTCGATCGAAAAAAATAGTGACTGTTATTAATAATAATAATCATTTTGATTATATAAATAATTTAAGTGTTACTATAGAATATTTATCATTAGGCGCACTTCACCTCCTCATGCTATATAGGGGCTGTTTTTATTTTTATCATCTACTTCATCATTTACCCATGTACAAATCGTTTTATCTAATTTTTTTTGTATTTTTATCGTCTTTTCCATCTTATTTTCACTATTTTTTGTGTTTATATTATTGACCAAACACAGTAAGCTCGCGAAGAAAGATGCCATTTTGTGACACCCTCCATTCTCTCGCCCCAAGACCGGTGCATCATAGAAAACGATACCGTATTGTAAATGGTAAACCCTAATAATATATCTCAAGGAACGCGCAGCAATATTACCTTTTTTTTTTATGCGTCTTGTGCGTTTTGTACTGAATAATATATGCATAATAGTGTAAAACATATATTGAAGTAGTCAAGTTGTATTCTGATAAAGTGGTGAAAATTATAAAAACAGTTTCAGTTGTGAATAAGAATTATGGTAAAATAATAATATTTCACCATTTATTAGAAACCTCCTACAGTAACCTAGAGAGTTTCACGAATTTAAAGGAAAAACGTGAAAAAATGTAAATGAAATGGAAAGCCCAAATTTTATTTTACTTCATCAGGTTCTTGATTATTATTTGTCTAGCGTATTATTTTATGATTTTCTTGTTAGTTTACGTAGTACTGGACTATTGAAACGAAAAATTATATATTGTACAGTAATATAGTGTGTGTTGACAGTTATTGTTACGCGTCTGGGTCAACTGGGTGACTCACTTCTGGTCGTTGCTGTTGTGTCTCTCGCTGTTTCCTCGCCTCAACTTCCTCTAGGGCAGACAGCTCAACCTAGTTGTTTCTTCACATTAATAACTTCATCTTTTCGTCTTCACGGGAATTTTTGATGAACCATAGTACGCTGTTTTATTCTACCTATTTACTTTTAAGTCAAATAAAACGACTCGACATGATTCTTCTGACCAAAAGGAAGATGAAGCGGGGAAACACCGAAAGAAGACAATAACAACAACTACCATTCGTGTCCGTTTTAATTCTTGGCCTGCCAGCAGTATTTATTTAGAACACCACACATACGCCTTCCTACCATGTGCACACGCGCATGCACGAGCTAATCAAAACATTTTCGCACACGTTATATATATATATATATATATATATATATTATATATATATATATATATATATATATATATATATATATATATATATATATATATATATATATATATATATATATATATATATATATATATATATATATAATATATATATTTATGTGTGTGTGTGTGGTAACTTTGTATTCGAGAACTCTATTATATTATATAGTAATTATGTAGAATTCTCGAATAAAAAATGACCCTGTGGCACCGGCGTATGTAACGCTTCCTCATGCCCCCCCCCATCCTGAGACTTTTTTATTATCCATGACGCAAGATGCCCCCCCCTGCACTTTGCACCCCAGCCTCCCATTTCTTTTCTCTCTATTACCCCTCTTACAACACTCGTTCCTTCCGCCCCTTTCCCACGCTTCACCCACGCCCCCAGGGCCACTCTCACGACCCCGTGCTTTTTATTTATCCCAGATGCCAGATCCGTGCCACCCACACGTCCCTCCCCTCCATGTGCCTCTCTCACGGCCCCAGTGCCTCTTTTTATCCACGTTGTAAGATTTGTGCGGGTGAGTATGGCACGGGCGGCGCAGACTGTGCCGCCCGTGCCACACTCCTCCTCCCCAGCTCTTGTTTACACTGTGAAGCAGGAATCAAAAGCAAGAGTCAAAGGCGAGGACCAAACTCTGCTTCACGTGGGTATTTCATTAGAATTGTTATCAAGTCTACCCAGTGCTCTCTGCTCCTTCACACACATTGTTGATTCCTACATGTCCACCCCTCCCCCTTCTACCAGTGCCACTTTCACCCCCATCCTTCCATCCCCTACCATCCACCTGCGAATTCACTCTCGTTTTACCAATCTTTCACTTCCAATTCTCTAAATACGTTCATCCTATCTGGGTAAACACTGATATGTGATCTCTGCTTATCATTTATTTAATTTCCTCGTCACATTGCTTTCATCCTAGTGTGTCCAGATTTAGTGTTTTAGTGTGACGTGTTGAGGCCGACTCGATAATCCACACGTACTGTATATGTTCATCTTAGCCGCTTCTCTCTCTCTCTCTCTTCAAATGTCACAATCTATACCTATTATTTATTTTTCTTCCACTAGTCTGTGTTTAAATTCATTAATAATCGTTCCATTGATGACACATCCTCTCTTAGAGATCTGAAACATTCCACTTCGCTCATTATTTTTCCATGCGTCATTCATCTTTTTTCTACCTACTTTATGAATTATTTCTGTAAAAATATTAACTATGTTACCTTTCCTTGACTCAATCAATCAATCGACTTTCACCGACTTCTTCCCAGTTCTCTGAATCTGTTTCACCTTGAACCTTCCATTCAGTATTAATCTAGCCTCTACCAAGTAAAGGTCAGACGGGGTCCGTGTTGGCGGTTCCAGTTGTTCATTCATCTCAAGCAACTCACAATTCATTCTTCACTCCACCAACACACATATCACCAATTACCTATTTTCTTCATTATTCCATACTATCAACTCTCTTAACATACATTATAACAGTTTATCATCATTATCATTCATTTCTGGCTTTATATTTGCTTACCCATAATCCTAGCCATATCTCTATCGTCAAGCTCCGTTATCGTTATCATTCTATCTCTCACATTTAAGTTTGTTTCAAGGTCTTCTTAACACCTTTCCCTCTCGCTTTGTGTACTCAGTAATATAGCCTATCTCAGTCTCCCTCTTTTGAATCTAATCCATAACCATAATAATATATCTAGAATTAATATGTACGTCAAGCTGAACACACACACACACACACACACACACACACACACACACACACAGATATATACTGTACTAAAAATGTGCAAAACTTGAAATCCTACACGGAAATGAGTAACGACTCTCGCCACGACATCCTGTGAAAGACAACCACAGGGGAAGAAATCAACGAACACTGCCACTGACGCTACTGCCGCGGCCACGAGTTTGTTTGGCTATATTAAGTTGGGTTGATTTAAAATACTGTAGTTTACAACGTTCACCGTAACGTTCCTTGTCGAAATGTTTCATTGTCCATCAACACGACCGTCCATTGAAGCAGTAGATTGAATGACCGACTATTTTTCGCCCACTGAAAAGTTTAAAAGATCGAGTGATATATTATTAGTAGTAGTAGTAGTAGCCTAGTAGTATTTTATTAGTATTGTCGCCCAACCTATTGTATTAATTAAAAGTTTATGATATGAACGGGAGTAGATAATTATTTTAATCTCAAAATAATTCTAATATTAATCATGCTCAAATATTATTCTGCACTTGATATAATTCCCTTTATTTTTAATGGTAGAGTTAACACTAAATGCACTGAACGCAGACTCGCACACACCCACGCAAACAGTCCCAGCGCACTCAAGCAGGCGTTCCTATGCGTCGAGAGGAATTTTTTTTTTTTACACCAGCTATCAATCTTCTCTCATGTGAAAGCCTCGCACATAAACAAAAGCTAACATGCACATACTCACACGCACAGACGCACAAAAATTCTCACACGTATATGCAGTACATAGATCCACCCAAGAACACAAATTTTCATTGGTGTTTAATTGATATACGAACAAGAACCCTGCCAAACTCTCGCAAGTAAGCATTGACAGGTAATACATACATACATACACACAGACACGTAAAAATCGTTCACCTACATCATAATTATACAGCATACTCACATTTAACGAACATATGTACACACGCATCCAAAAATACCGGAAGTTGTTATCAAGAAATGGAACGAACTCTCTTGGGTTCTAGACTGAGGGCGGTGGCGCCTTTAAGTCTGGCTGGACTGGTGTCTTGATGGATAGTGGTGAACGGCCGCTCATTAACACTCTCTACCCTTTACTTAATTAATTATCAGCCAAGTCATTATTTTTGTAATCTCTCCCACCCAGGCCTACACACACACACACACGCTCACACATGCTCGTCTTCGCATACATACACTTGTGCACTTATTTTCATATACTTACATGCATAAGGTGATGTGTTTATTGTATATTCCTGTGCATATGGTCACTAAGGTTACTCATAATATGCTTACATGTTCACAATTGTATGTCTGTACTGTACATGCCTACATACACACGATACGAGGTATGAATACGAATGTGCGCACAGATATATTACATATTATATATACATGTATACACACACACACACACACACACACACACACACACACACACACACATATACACTCACACACATTAAACTATATACAATTAGTTATTATTTGTGAAACCCCTTTAAATTGAACCCCTCGACCTGCAAAAAAGCCTTCTGCGCGGATTCGAACGAAACTGCCGAACGCTCAATATTTTCCACTTGAATTTGAACGATACTTTCTGGTTTGACAATCAATTCTGTAGGCACCGATTCAAAAAGATACTCTGTCCTAACACCCAATGTGTTCTGCGTGAAATCGTACAATAATCTTTTGTCCTAATGCAGTACTTTCTGAACTGTTTCAAACAATGATGTCTTCCTTATCAGTGCAACACTGTATTTTCTGCATGAATAACACTAAGAGCTTTGTTTGCTCTAACACACAATACTTTCCGCGTGATTTCGAATCATAATTTCCGCACAACTTTAATCAACACTGCCCAACACCAATTGATACCTTCCTAGCGAATTCGAATTCAATGGTTTTTTGCTCTGCTCACTGGATTCTCACATGCTTGTGCGACATATTTTCTCTAACATATAAATACTCACCTAACTGGCTTATTTTAGCAACAATACCGACCTAATTGTAGTAATGAATTTGGTCTTGAAAGAGACACTGTGCACATGTGTATGTATACGTTTGAGTGCGTGAATGTGGTGAATGTGTTTGTTACGTGTGCTTGTACATCTTCAATGTGTATAACTTAATATTTATCAGTACCGTTTTTCATATAACAGTTTGGTTAATCACTGTAGTGCTCAGAAATCAAAATGAATTCAAACCCTAAGATTTTCTTCAATAAAACTCAAAAGTGAGACGCTTCTATTTGTCTAAAACATACTGTAAATTTAGGATAGTCAATATGTTTAAATTTTGTTCCAAAAAATGAATAAAATCACAAGAACTGCACGCTTTCCCTTGAGAATCAACCACGTCGTAACCTCAACTTCCAAGTCACTTTCTCGTCCCATTCATTGCAGAAAAAGGTTAATCTTTACGGCAAGTGTCCGGTAAATGACTGCTCGAAATAAATCACAGCGTGGCTGGGGACAGTGACCGGGCAGTTAGGGCACAGGTAGGGGCACTTCCGCTCACTGCTCCAAGTATCGGAAATACTTCGGAACTTTAGTCAGCGAACACCTCATCCATTTTGGTTGCTACATCTCCATCAAATGCTGAAAACTTTAACTTTGCTCTTTCAGTTAAGGCTTGGGCTAATTCTTGATATCAATGACCTCATTTTAAGATACTTCTTAAGAATAGTGGTGTATTCCCTACCGCGATTAAAATAAACCCAGTCGGCGTTCCGAGAACATGACCCTCGCGCGCATTAGCTCCCGATACCATTGCCGGATGCTACGCGGCACCTGATTGGTGTGAGCCTCTCGTAGAGTCGTCTAGGTTGCCGCGCAGACCAATCAGCACGTTTGTTATATGTATTCACCCGGGGGACTCACCGCCCTGTTGCTAAGGGAACCACACTCTGCCAACAACGACACTGTACTGCACTATGAGCAGTCATGAGCACGCTTAAATAAGCTCTCCATATATTACATTATAACAGTCTCTTGGAAAGCTTAAATCAATAACCTATGCAAACACAGAGCTAAGAGTCAATAGTTGATCTGGATGAATTTCTAGGGAGAAAAACTTTCACGAATTGCGATTGCAGGACTCTTCTTGCTGTCATGGCTATCTCATATTATAGATATATATATTATAAAATATAAAATACTAAAATAGCAGTGAAAAGGCAAGTGAGAGTGAGATGAGTGTTGCAGGATCGAGGAGCCGATGTCTGCTGGGGAGAGAGAGAGAGAACGGGAGGCTGGACCACTCATATATTTACGTAAACTCACTTACCATCAACACTTTTCTTTATGTTCTGTACCAATTAATAGCATTACATACCACACAAATGACTAAATTAGGAAATTTTACTTTGCTATAATAATAATAAAGAATATTATTAATTGAATAAATATAAATAAATTGATAAAAATATGCCATTGACAGAAAGAAGACACAAAAATGGTGGCGTTAGTTTTGGGAAGTGAGCGAAGCGTTGCATAAAGTTTGGGTAGATGGTGGTCGAGGTGCACTCAACAAGCCAGTGAAGACCGCTGCCATATTTGAAGAGTGCGCTGTTACTCTCCTCAGATCGATTTTGTGTATTATTGTGATAATTGTATACTTGGATGGGTATACATGTGTGAGATGTAAGCAGGGAGACCTCGACGCCAGGATATACACACAGGATTTACCTAAGAAGCCCGGAGAATACCATAGGAAGCGGTTAACGTGAGGATTCAAATAAGAGATGGTGGACTGACTACCGATAGTTCATGTTTTGACGAGAAAAGGCTCTTATGAGGTGTTTATACCCTCATATCAGTGTGAGGTGGAATGATACAGTACATAGAGTTTGTCTGGGAATAAGTGAAGTGAACAAGTAAGTGGATAGAGGAATTAGCGGTGTGATATTTGTGTTTTGGGCGAGTGTTTTGACCCTTACGGGCGCGTCCATTCTAGCGCGCGGGGGAGGAACCCAGCCAGAGTCGTGCAAAACGTAAACAAACTGCGTCTTACCATCCAAATTTTACCCATAGTACTGGAAATGAATACTATCTTCAATGACTCCCAACAAGAAATCGTCATTTAAAGGACCACTCGACACCATATCGTCCAAACCAGATTGATTACCTTAGAAAAACAAGTGTTGAAAGACGGTGTGGAAGTTGCTTTGTTGACACGGCCTCTGGTGTTGGTAGCCACTTTCCACGAGCCCCGTTAAACATGGCGTTCACTGGGATGTGAAGCCAGGCCCGGGATCTGACACAACTGGATGGAATGGTTTTATTGACCTACTGCCCGCACATTACTGAACCAATATGCCGGAGAATGAGACAGCAGACATTGCACTACCATTGATTTTAGTTGCAAGGGGGCCAAGGAAGAAGAGGAGTGTAGTTTTATTATATACATGGATTGTATGATTAGAAGTGAAGCTTATCACTTTTTAGCCCACTGAAGATACATATCATTGGAGTTTACTGAAGCTCTAGACATAATCATAAGGAGACTAGTATCTTAAGGCATTGTTGTGTTGGATTTTGGAATTTTAAAAAGATAATAGGCTAATTATATAAAACTGAGTGTAACTAAGTTCTGTGATGAAGTGTTGCTGTGATTTCTTATGGGTGAAGTGAAGTGTGGAAAGTTTTCCAAAGAAGCATAGACGAGTGCGGGATAACAGTGCACAGTACTTGACGAGATCCAGGTAATCCCTGGACCACTGTGCACAATTTAGCAGTGGTAGCCTGGCAGGCGCCGGGATAGCCAGCCTTGGGGAGCGCGAGTGCAGTGGTGGGGCCGGGCCGGGCCATGCAGGCGGGGGTGCCATGGTGCTGGTGAGTGGGGGAGGGGGGGACGGCTCGGGTGCCGCAGCAGCCGGTGGGCGAGTGGGTGGGGCGGCCGCTGCAGCCCAAGCCATGGACAAGGCTTGGGGGGTGACCGTGGCCCCCCCGAATCAGCACAAGCGCCATGACCCCTGGCACAAACATGAGCTGGCGGACAAGGAAAGAGCCAAGCAGATGCGTAAGTATTTATGGTTTATTTCATTTTATGAACAGCCTTCTCATTTTTCTTTGGCTGATGGCTAAAGTTGTGATCTAAAGGTCGATAAATGTGCCTGTACACTCACATTTATTGATCTTTAGATCAATTTGTCAAACTCCCGCAGCCACGCGCGTTTAATGTGTGTGTCCGCCACACCGAGATGAGGTGGGGTGAACGGGTTCCTCGTGAAACACCAGTAACTCTGGCGCCCTGCTCACTCTGCTCACTTTTATACCTGTGTGTGTAGTGCAGATGGTTCACGCCCCACCCGGGGTACAGGCTAAAGTTCTGTTTGCTTTTCCAGTTCAGCTTTTTCTTTTCAGTTCTTAAAGAAAGTTCAAAGTTCTTTACTCCTGAAAGTATTTTGTACTGCAAATTTTCAACAGGTATATAATATTACATTATTACTCCAGTACAGTACAGGATATACCTGTAGAGGACCCCAGACTCCTGTGCCTGTTGTTGACCCTTTCTCTCCTCATACAGTACCTCAGAACTAATGAGAAGGCTGATAAGTGTACCTGTCAATAATTTAAGGAAGCATTATTGTCTTGTAATTGTATTTTTCATATGAATGATACATAATGTAGTGATTGATTTTTTTACTATTTATTAATTTATCTGACAGTACAACATTACCCAAATGGTAAATATTATTGTGGTATTTTATTTAGAAAACTGGTAAATGTCTAGAATGACTGCAGAATTAATAATACATGCACAGTATTGTGTTTTGGGGGTTTCATTAAAATGTTTAGTCCCAATCCCTGATCTGTTCCTGGTAAAGATGGCATAATTCTGTATTATTTGTTTTTTTACCACAGTATGCCTAATGCACATGGAGGCCAATGCCTACTTGCCATTTTTACAAGTAAATTAAATTCCTTTTTATTTATTTCTCTTCTCCATCAGATTTGCATTTCTACATAGGTACAGTTATGTTTTTACTAATTATCTTAAATAAAGCAGACCATTATTTATTCCACGGTCATTTAGTGATTTACCACAACTACCTAGTATGTACAATTGCCAACAAATGTCCCATCTCCTCTTCTGCTGATCCACGAACCCCAAAATTCAGACTTGTTAACCTGAAGCAGTAGACACTGATGCATTATTCTGTCCACGGCTGCTTCGGATTCACGAGTCTGAATCTCAGGGTTCGTGGATCAGCAGAAGAAGCAACAGGAAAGTACAGTATATATCAGCCATGTGATTGCATTTTTAAAGCAGCTATTTAAATTGCCTTTTTGTATCTATGTATACTGTAAAATGCTATCAACATGAATGCCTGATACTAAAAAAAGGAAAAAATGTTTGACTGCATGGCAAGTGTAAAATCTTGTCTTATACTGCACGTTCTTTACTCCTGAGAAACACTTACGGTAAGATTCGTTCAGTGAAGTCTTGCAACAATTTTGTATAGCTCCTAAAAGTATGGCCAATATCCTATGCTATTTCCAGTGTTTTAAGATTACAGTTTCAAAAATTTTCAAAGTATGATTTTACTGTTGGTAAAAGCAACTACCAGACATAATTTATAGTTTAAGGAGAAATTTTTCTCAGAACATTGACATCAGAATCTTACAATGTATAGATTTTTTTTACCTGTTTTTATTAGATTAATACTTCTGGCCAGCAATATTGAAGCAAAACAAAATATGAATATATACCTGTATTGTATGTTCCGTTTGTATTGTTGAAGTGGTCCCATTTTCTTGGTTGCATCAGTGGTAAACCATTTATAACATGGAATGAGAGGTTAACCAATAACACTAACCAGTCAATGCTAACTTAACCAAATTAAAAATAACCGAGATAATATTGAATTGATTCTTGTCATGTGCTGTTAGTATTGGTTCACTGTGCAGGAGCTTGGAGAAAATGGAGCCATCGTGTGAGTAAATAGTATTTGATCAATACAGAATCTTAATTACCGTAGTTAGCTATATACTTAATATAGTAATTTCTTATTGCAGAAACAGGATTGTAGACAAAATTAGCATGACTTTATGCAGGGTAGTCACATTAGACATGCATATAAATATCAGTGTTGGGTGAGTTGTCAATAGTTAATGGTTTTGGAGTCTACTGTCATATCTTAAAACATTAATGGTAGATGAGAGTAACTAACCTAATTCTCTTTTTGGAAAAATTTTTGATAATGTGATCTTAGTTACAATATCTTTCACAGTTTAATGTTATAGTCACACAGCTGCCATTTGTAAGCATGTCCTTAGTTATACTTTTCATATAGTACTGTATGGTAGCTACTGTATATAGAAACTGGAGTCAGATCCTATGTTTAATATATATATAAAAGTATTAAGTAGTTTTGTGAGAAAAATTAATCCTGTGTTGAGGTGGCATGAGAATGGAAGTTGATTTATTTACCCATGTATAAAACATATTACTAGTGTACACAATTGGAGCACAGCAACAAAATAATTGGGCATTGTACAACTGTCTTGGTATATTGCAATAATTGTCCTAATTTCTTTGGCATTACAGTATTGTGAACATTTCCTCTGCAGACAACATGAATACACCCAACCAAGTCCAAGCTAACTGTCTCTACCTAAATACAGTTGCAATTAAACCTAAATTTTGCTCAAATGATAAGCCAATATTACAGGTACTGTATGACCATTCCATCAAAGAAAACAGGATTCTTTTGTGATGATAACCTTACAGTTGAATTTTTATCTTTGTATTGCAGAAGCTATAGAACTAGTATCAGCTACATAGTCTGAGGCTGACATACCCGGTATCTGGTTCCTGTTAGAACTGTTTGAAGAAATCTTATTTTTTACCTCAAGAATAAAGCAAAGGAGAAAGAATAGCACTTTTCCTATTTAGATTTTTGTTTGTAATTTTTCTTATCGTAAAGAAAGACACCGCTACTGGTGCCCTGAACGAGGCCGCCATCTTTGTTTACGTGAGCATCAGGAGTCATCATCGTCATCAAAACATCACAAGATGCTCCGTTTTATACGCATTAATAAGAATCAACAGCAGTACGGTAACTTACAAAAAATTGTATAGATGATAAATTATTCTTTCTTTTGTTAATAACAATAATGATAATACAGTATTCTAAAAAGGGATGATATGTTAATAATAATAGGTAGAATTTGCAATTTAACTAATATGTAATATTATACATACCATACTAATAGTTTGGCAATACACGAACCAACAAAACAACCCAGCTACCGAACCTAAGATGAAAGTTGAGTGTTATTAAGTTCGTGTGGGCAAATGATAGACAATTTGTACGGGGAAAAGTTTAGCAGGTCGGTGCACCTTCCGTTTGTCATTTGTCTTGTACAAAGTGGTGTCCTTGGTCGTGAAGTGGGCAGGTGACATCAGGGTTTTTATGAGAAACACTAAGAACAAAACCTGAATTTGTAAAGATCTTTTCCTCCACCTGAGTTGCTTTAGTCTTGAGGTAAGAATTAAGTTTTCTTGTAAAAAGATTTTTCATTGGGTGGCTGGGTATCCCAAACTACGTCCTGTTACATTATATTACTAGTGTGACTGTTTGCGACAAATACGGTACAGTACTTAATAAACTTAGCAAGTACAGTACAATAGAATCTTTCTCCTAAAAAATTACAAGTACAGTACTGTACTACTGTACTGTATTGAATAACCAGATTATTGTTAATGGACTTGGATTATGAGTTGGCATGATGTACTGTATGTAAGTAATTTCCTTGCTAAAATAATGTTCTACAGCCACACATCAGTACCGGTAGGTGCAGTATGTCTTAAATAGTCCTGGATTCATGGCACCACAGCTTAACAAAGATAACATTTTGGAAAGCAGTAAGTTTCACTTCCAAGTTTTCAAGAGAAGCAAAAAAAGGAAAAAAATTCCAATACAGGTATGTGGCAATACGTTGGCCCTAATTTGCAAGATCATTACTTTGATAACACTGAGATATCTCTTCACTACTGTATTGCACAATTTGAAATACCTATAGGAGTCTGTTTTATTTTTAAGCATCATGGGTCCAACCTCTGGACTCCTGAGACATGAGACCAACTGACAGCGCTCTGACAACCTGAAGAGAGGTTATATGAGGATCAACCTGGTAGCAAAGTTATATGAGGATCAACCTGGTAGCAAAGTTATATGAGGATCAACCTGGTAACATTTGCTAGCACTTACAGCTTTGTCAGATTAGTCACCAAAAACTCTGCTTGTCACTTGTAAAGGTGTATGTTCAATGTAGTTATATTTGCCAAATCATTTTGTTTCTTTCAAAGATTTTGGTTTTACCATTCATAATTAATACGCATACTTGATGCAGTCACGAGCCGCATCAATTTGTAAATCAAGGTTTCTCTTAGCTTTTGTTTGTTTATTATATATATTTCTAATGTTACTATTTCTGTTATAATTAGCATTATTAGTTCGAGTTTGTGTACATATGTTCACTTTTTAGTAAAATTCTTTGAAATGAATTTTTAACAAGCAGAGCTCGTGATTACCAGTTTGATGGATCTACGAGTATACTGTATACAGGTATACTCGTGTGTCGGGAAATATTAAGTTCACCATTTTTATGATTGGCTTCTGTGATGCTCGCCTTCAAAACTGGGCATGGTCAGTTGCTCTCATATCCTGAGCTGTTAAGATGATTAAAAGAATACAGACACCTTGAGTACAGTACAGTAGTAGTACAGTATACAATATTGGAGTATAGACGCCGTCTATACTCCAATATTGTATACGATCAAAGTACAGTAAACCATTGCTCTCTGTTGGGAGAATTGTTTACTTTTCACATGGAATTGGAAGTGAGACTTAGAGTTGTAGTTGCTGACTAGAGGATTAAACATAATATGGTGCATGTATGATGTTCTTGAGCAGTTTATAGTGGCAGGAAAGTTATATTGCAGCAACCCAAAATATATGACCCGATAACAAAAGTTTGATCATTAATACATACCGTAGCTACTATTTTTCA